TCTCCTCCTATCAGCATGTTTCTTCGTCAGCACATGAACGGCTTGGCTTTTGCTTCTCCCTCTCTCAGTCTGAGCCGTGCAGTACAGGGACAGCGAAAGGCTGATACCAGATCACATTCAGGCATCTGAAAATGAATTGCATGGTGCGCTAAGGATTATAGAGCTGCATTCACTACAACAATGGACGTTCTTTATGTTGACACACCTGAAAGGAGCAGTGTGCAGGGAACATGACTGAACATGAATGTAATAGAGCCGCTGTGTATATGACGCTGACAGATTGTACACATGATACAATGGCACGCGTGTACACAATATTTATACATCTGCGTGTACACATCATACAGTACAGTGAGTGTTGTCACCCTTGGACAGGAAGTGAGTTACTGACAGGATCACCTGGTGAAAATAAAGGGAAAAAGACCTTTAAAAAGAAAACAAATGCAGCTGCTGCATCTGAGGACTGGAAGGTCGGGTGGGGGAGTCCGGTGACGTCGATGTCCGTGACGGCTAACGAAGGGAAGGGGGGGAGTCAGGTGACGTCCATGTCCGTGACGTCACCAGACTCCTCCCCCCTTCGTTAGCCGACGGAGCCACTTGGGCCGGTGAGTTTGCCCAAGAAACTTTCTGCACGAGCGCCAGCCAAGGCATTGGCCTATACACATACAGCACAGCAATGACCTATACACATACAGCACTGAACTGTGCACATACAGCACAGCAATGACCTATACACATACAGCACTGAACTGTGCACATACAGCACAGCAATGACCTATACACATACAGCACAGCAATGACCTATACACATACAGCACTGAAGTCATAAAATGAACTAGGATCACAGTACTCCAGCACGTTATTAATCTCACGTGCCCCACTCAAGCGGCGGCCATATTGAGTGGGGCACGTGAGATTAATAACGTGCTGGATTAGTGTGATCCTAGTTCATTTTATGACTTCATTGCAGTGCTGTATGTGTGTAGGCCAATGTAGTTGGATCTGTATGTGCGTTATAATTAATCGAAATTAATCGATTAAAAAAAAGTTCGATTAATCGAACACGAAAATTGTAATCATTACCAGCCCTAGTGCAGACACATCTAAGTTCTGGAAGATGACCCCACACTGATGATCTGAGTGTTCTGCGTATTTTCTGTGTTTGTCGTTTCTATGACAATCAGCAAAAATACAAAATACACAACTTGTCATGTGACGTCCGAGAGATATAAAGTGATACAAAGCAGATCCATTGTCAGAGCAACACAAGAGACAAATGCACCAGTCAGCAAGTCAGATAGAGCCCGCCTCATTTCCTGGCTGGAGGACGTCCAGCATCATCTAGTGCTTTCCTCGCCAGACTGACTGTCCCTGGCCACGCCCATTTTCATTCAATGGATTTAATTTCTTTCAATCATGGAGGCTCAGCACCACATGTGGGAGTTCTGCATGCAAATGCTGCCTGCCTAGGAACGCCCCTCCTCCAGACTGACAGCCACTCGTCAGGGCAATTTTATATTTGCATAACTCCTCCCAAGACCCAGTCAGGCTGACTGTCCCTGGCCACGCCCCTTTTCATTCATTGGATTTGATTTCTTTCAATCATGGAGGCTCAGCACCACATGTGGGAGTTCTGCATGCAAATGCTGCCTGCCTAGGAACGCCCCTCCTCCAGACTGACAGCCACCCATCAGGGCAATTTTATATTTGCATAACTCCTCCCAAGACTCAGTCAGGCTGACTGTCCCTGGCCACGCCTCTTTTCATTCATTGGATTTGATTTCTTTCAATCATGGAGGCTCAGCACCACATGTGGTCGTTACCTTTGGGGTGGTCTCCACGCAAATGGAACCTGCCAAGGAAAGCCCACTCCTCCAGGCTGGCATCCACCCATCAAGGCATTTTGATATTTGCATAACTCCTCCCAAGACCCAGCCCACTGCTTGAATCAGGGCTGAGGGCTCTTGGGAGCAGTACTGAGGCAGGATGCTGTGATGTTTTCAGGATGTACAGCACCCTGCCGGCCCCTCTGTGTTGCATTACACCCTCCCGCCAGCTATGATATGAAGCACAGGGACCCAGTGATGTCATCACTGGGTATAATATAATGCATGTCATGAAAACAGACAGTTCTATATAACAATGTAATTACCATGTTGATGAGGGGGGGAGGGGAGAACTATGGGAAGCAATATTACACTCCACCTGGGGGTTTCAATACTCCCCCAACCCCAAAACTAAGCAAAAAGGAAGAGATTTGGAGCTAAAAATAAATTTTAATGGGATTTCATGTAATGCCGGAAATGTGGAAGTGGAATCGCTGAGCGCGGACGTTTCACCGAAAACCGTATTGTCTCCTCCATAAACAATACCCAGAGCACACAAGTACAGCTTCTATGACACAATGTATGACCTTTATATATATATATATATATACTGGTCGCCTACCCCTGTACACAGCGTATACCTATACACCAATCACTGACCCCTGTACACTGTGTATACCTGTCTGTATATAAGGGACTGTGACCCCCTATACATGGTGTATACCTGACTCCTGTACATTGTATAGATTTGTCTACAAGAAAGTATCATTGAAGATTCTTCGTGGTACAGAGAGGGAGGTGCATGGTGACCTGAGGATAATACATTGTACATGTGGAATATGGAGGTCAGACATTGTACTTCCAACCATGTACAGATGGCAGGTCCTGCATTGCTGTCTGTGTACAATGTCCCCCAATACAATGCTGCTACATAGTAAACTCCTAGACTAATGCTGATACATTGTATATCCTCATGAAGAAACCTACACATTGTATACCCCACACATCGAGAAATATACATCGAATGCCCGGTATAGTGAGTTATATACATTGTATACCCAGTATAGTGAGATATATACATTGTGTGCCCAGTATAGTGAGATATATACATTGTGTGCCCAGTATAATGATAAATATACATTGTGTGCCCAGTATAGTGAGTTATATACATTGTATGCCCAGTATAGTGAGTTATATACATTGTATGCCCAGTAAAGTGAGAAATATACATTGTATGTCCGGTATAGTGAGATATATACATTGTATGCCCAGTATAATGATAAATATACATTGTATACCCAGTATAATGATAAATATACATTGTATGCCCAGTATAGTGAGATATATACATTGTATGCCCAGTATAGTGATAAATATACATTGTATACCCAGTATAGTGAGATATATACATTGTATGCCCAGTATAGTGATACATATACATTGTATGCCCAGTATAGTGATAAATATACATTGTATGCCCAGTATAGTGAGATATATACATTGTATGCCCAGTATAGTGAGATATATACATTGTATGCCCAGTATAGTGATACATATACATTGTATGCCCAGTATAGTGATAAATATACATTGTATGCCCAGTATAGTGATACATATACATTGTATGCCCAGTATAGTGATAAATATACATTTGCCCAGTATAGTGAGATATATACATTGTATGCCCAGTATATATACATTGTATATCTCTCAGGGACATGCTGTACATTCACTGTACTCAGATTCATGTTCCCATCTATAGTGATAATGATACATTGTATCCTGTGATGTCATAGACTGTATCCTGTGTATAGAGAGTGTGGTGCAGTGTGACCCCTTCTAGTTATGAAGATTGGGGTCACCCTGTGCTGTCCTAATTCCTGTCCCCCCAGTATACTAATAATACATTGTTCCCTCCCCATAGTGTACACAGCTATACATTGTATATGATGTGATGCAGATCCCAGGTGCTGTAATACAAAGTGTCCTCTGTACAGTGACAGTGGCAGAGTGTGCTCTAGTTATGGGAACGCAGGCCACCCTGTGATGTCATCATGCCTGTACGGTGTATATTCTGTATAGTGATAGCTCTATACTGCACCCCTGGTGTAATGATCCTGGTAAAGGAGTGTACCATCATAGTGATGACACATTGTATCCCCTGTATACAGAATCACGTACATTACATCTTCTCTACTGTGATAAATATACATTGTGTTATGTGCATAGTGATGGTGCAATGCATCTTGTGCATGTGTATGGTGATGATGGTGCGGTGTGCCCTATGTATGGTGATGATGGTGCAGTGTGCCCTGAGTATGGTGCAGTGTGCCCTGTGCATGGTGATGATGGTGCAGTGTACCCTGTGCATGGTGCTGATGGTGCAGTGTGCCCTGTGCATGGTGATGATGGTGCAGTGTACCCTGTGCATGGTGATGATGGTGCGGTGTGCCCTGTGCATGGTGATGATGGTGCAGTGTGCCCTGTGCATGGTGATGATGGTGCAGTGTGCCCTGTGCATGGTGATGATGGTGCAGTGTGCCCTGTGCATGGTGATGATGGTGCAGTGTGCCCTGTGCATGGTGATGATGGTGCAGTGTGCCCAGTGTATGGTCATGATGATGCAGCGTGCCCTGTGTATGGTGCAGTGTGCCAGGTGTATGGTGCTGATGGTGCAGTGTGCCCTGTGTATGGTGCAGTGTGCCCTGTGTATGGTGCAGTGTGCCAGGTGTATGGTGCAGTGTGCCAGGTGTTTGTTGATGATGGTGCAGTGTTGCCGGTGTATGGTGCAATGGGCCCGGTGTTTGGTGATGATGGTGCAGTGTGCCCTGTGATTGGTGCAGTGTGCCCTGTGTATGGTGCAGTGTGCCCTGTGTATGGTGCAATGGGCCCGGTGTCTGGTGATGATGGTGCAGTGTGCCCTGTGTATGGTGCAGTGTGCCCGGTGTATGTTGATGATGGTGCAGTGTTGCCGGTGTATGGTGCAATGGGCCCGGTGTATGGTGATGATGGTGCAGTGTGCCCGGTGTATGGTGCAGTGTGACCGGTGTATGGTGATGAGGATGCAGCGTGCCCTCTCCCGGTGCGGAGCTCCCCCCGTACCCCTGTGATGGCAGTGTGTGGCCTGACGTCCCTGGTGCTGATGCTGCGGATGATAATGATGGAGAAGGGTACCTGGCGGCCACGATGTCGGTGTTGGGCTGGTCTCCCCGGAAGGTGGGTATCCCCCGGAGCCCGGCCCTGGCCAGCAGGAAGAGACCCGGGAAGAAGGCGCTGCCAGCCGCCAGGACCAGGACCATTGCGGCACCAGGAGGAGGAGGAGGAGGGGGAGGGGGGCACACAGCACCGGGCACACAGACAATGGGGGCAGAGGAGCACTGCTGTCATACACAAAGAGGGGAGAGCCAGGGAGGGGGGCATGGAGGAGGAGGAGGAGAAGGAGGAGGTGGGCAGGCAGAGCCGCTGCTGGTCCCCTGACTGAGGATGATGGCTGGATGATGTGCAGTGACACGGGGACAGCCGGGAGAGAGGGAGGGGGGGACACAGGAGGATCCGACACTGCTACCCCTGCCTGTCATAATCCAGCCTGACATGGCTCTGCTCTAATCCTTATTAGACTACTCCCCCCATCATCATCCGGGGGGAGGGGACCAGAGACAGGTGCACCAGCCTCAGCCCAGCCTGTCCAACAGTGTACATACATTCCTCCTCTATACCCGACATTGTACACACCCTCCTCCTCTATACCCGACATTGTACACACCCTCCTCCTCTATACCCAACATTGTACACACATTCCTCCTCTATACCCAACATTGTACACACCCTCCTCCTCTATACCGGACATTGTACACACCCTCCTCCTCTATACCCAACATTGTACACACATTCCTCCTCTATACCCAACATTGTACACACATTCCTCCTCTATACCCAACATTGTACACACCTTCCTCCTCTATACCCAACATTGTACACACATTCCTCTATCCCTCCTCTAGCCCCAACATTGTACACACATTCCTCCTCTATCCCCAACATTGTACACACATTCCACCTCTATACCCAACATTGTACACACCTCCCTCCTCTATACCCAACAGTGTACATACATTCCTCTTCTATACCCAACATTGTACACACCTTCCTCTTCTATACCCAACATTGTACACACATTCCTCCTCTATACCCAACATTGTACACACCTTCCTCCTCTATACCCAACATTGTACACACATTCCCCCTCTATACCCAACATTGTACACACCTCCCTCCTCTATACCCAACAGTGTACATACATTCCTCCTCTATCCCCAACATTGTACACACATTCCCCCTCTATACCCAACATTGTACACACCTCCCTCCTCTATACCCAACAGTGTACATACATTCCTCCTCTATCCCCAACATTGTACACACATTCCCCCTCTATACCCAACATTGTACACACCTCCCTCCTCTATACCCAACAGTGTACATACATTCCTCCTCTATCCCCAACATTGTACACACATTCCCCCTCTATACCCAACATTGTACACACCTCCCTCCTCTATACCCAACAGTGTACATACATTCCTCCTCTATCCCCAACATTGTACACACATTCCCCCTCTATACCCAACATTGTACACACCTCCCTCCTCTATACCCAACAGTGTACATACATTCCTCCTCTATCCCCAACATTGTACACACATTCCCCCTCTATACCCAACATTGTACACACCTCCCTCCTCTATACCCAACAGTGTACATACATTCCTCCTCTATCCCCAACATTGTACACACATTCCCCCTCTATACCCAACATTGTACACACCTCCCTCCTCTATACCCAACAGTGTACATACATTCCTCCTCTATCCCCAACATTGTACACACATTCCCCCTCTATACCCAACATTGTACACACCTCCCTCCTCTATACCCAACAGTGTACATACATTCCTCCTCTATCCCCAACATTGTACACACATTCCCCCTCTATACCCAACATTGTACACACCTCCCTCCTCTATACCCAACAGTGTACATACATTCCTCCTCTATCCCCAACATTGTACACACATTCCCCCTCTATACCCAACATTGTACACACCTCCCTCCTCTATACCCAACAGTGTACATACATTCCTCCTCTATCCCCAACATTGTACACACATTCCCCCTCTATACCCAACATTGTACACACCTCCCTCCTCTATACCCAACAGTGTACATACATTCCTCCTCTATCCCCAACATTGTACACACATTCCCCCTCTATACCCAACATTGTACACACCTCCCTCCTCTATACCCAACAGTGTACATACATTCCTCCTCTATCCCCAACATTGTACACACATTCCCCCTCTATACCCAACATTGTACACACCTCCCTCCTCTATACCCAACAGTGTACATACATTCCTCCTCTATCCCCAACATTGTACACACATTCCCCCTCTATACCCAACATTGTACACACCTCCCTCCTCTATACCCAACAGTGTACATACATTCCTCCTCTATCCCCAACATTGTACACACATTCCCCCTCTATACCCAACATTGTACACACCTCCCTCCTCTATACCCAACAGTGTACATACATTCCTCCTCTATCCCCAACATTGTACACACATTCCCCCTCTATACCCAACATTGTACACACCTCCCTCCTCTATACCCAACAGTGTACATACATTCCTCCTCTATCCCCAACATTGTACACACATTCCCCCTCTATACCCAACATTGTACACACCTCCCTCCTCTATACCCAACAGTGTACATACATTCCTCCTCTATCCCCAACATTGTACACACATTCCCCCTCTATACCCAACATTGTACACACCTCCCTCCTCTATACCCAACAGTGTACATACATTCCTCCTCTATCCCCAACATTGTACACACATTCCCCCTCTATACCCAACATTGTACACACCTCCCTCCTCTATACCCAACAGTGTACATACATTCCTCCTCTATCCCCAACATTGTACACACATTCCCCCTCTATACCCAACATTGTACACACCTCCCTCCTCTATACCCAACAGTGTACATACATTCCTCCTCTATCCCCAACATTGTACACACATTCCCCCTCTATACCCAACATTGTACACACCTCCCTCCTCTATACCCAACAGTGTACATACATTCCTCCTCTATCCCCAACATTGTACACACATTCCCCCTCTATACCCAACATTGTACACACCTCCCTCCTCTATACCCAACAGTGTACATACATTCCTCCTCTATCCCCAACATTGTACACACATTCCCCCTCTATACCCAACATTGTACACACCTCCCTCCTCTATACCCAACAGTGTACATACATTCCTCCTCTATCCCCAACATTGTACACACATTCCCCCTCTATACCCAACATTGTACACACCTCCCTCCTCTATACCCAACAGTGTACATACATTCCTCCTCTATCCCCAACATTGTACACACATTCCCCCTCTATACCCAACATTGTACACACCTCCCTCCTCTATACCCAACAGTGTACATACATTCCTCCTCTATCCCCAACATTGTACACACATTCCCCCTCTATACCCAACATTGTACACACCTCCCTCCTCTATACCCAACAGTGTACATACATTCCTCCTCTATCCCCAACATTGTACACACATTCCCCCTCTATACCCAACATTGTACACACCTCCCTCCTCTATACCCAACAGTGTACATACATTCCTCCTCTATCCCCAACATTGTACACACATTCCCCCTCTATACCCAACATTGTACACACCTCCCTCCTCTATACCCAACAGTGTACATACATTCCTCCTCTATCCCCAACATTGTACACACATTCCCCCTCTATACCCAACATTGTACACACCTCCCTCCTCTATACCCAACAGTGTACATACATTCCTCCTCTATCCCCAACATTGTACACACATTCCCCCTCTATACCCAACATTGTACACACCTCCCTCCTCTATACCCAACAGTGTACATACATTCCTCCTCTATCCCCAACATTGTACACACATTCCCCCTCTATACCCAACATTGTACACACCTCCCTCCTCTATACCCAACAGTGTACATACATTCCTCCTCTATCCCCAACATTGTACACACATTCCCCCTCTATACCCAACATTGTACACACCTCCCTCCTCTATACCCAACAGTGTACATACATTCCTCCTCTATCCCCAACATTGTACACACATTCCCCCTCTATACCCAACATTGTACACACCTCCCTCCTCTATACCCAACAGTGTACATACATTCCTCCTCTATCCCCAACATTGTACACACATTCCCCCTCTATACCCAACATTGTACACACCTCCCTCCTCTATACCCAACAGTGTACATACATTCCTCCTCTATCCCCAACATTGTACACACATTCCCCCTCTATACCCAACATTGTACACACCTCCCTCCTCTATACCCAACAGTGTACATACATTCCTCCTCTATCCCCAACATTGTACACACATTCCACCTCTATACCCAACATTGTACACACCTTCCTCCTCTATACCCATCCTTCTTCCCCCAATACTGCTCTCTGCTAACTGGCTGAAATACTAAATCAGTAATCCTCTGCCGGTGTCATAACATAGAGAAAAGTTAGTGACCCCTCAAACTCCTGTCCCGGAGCTCTGACAGTGCCATGTTTCAGGCGCTGGGAGTGTCTGGGGAAGCTGATGAGGCGGCACACAGACTCCAGGCATTGATCATGGGAGAGACACGTATGTAACATGAGAAATGGCCGCCACACTCTCCAATGTACAGATCAGAGTACACGGAGTGAGAGAATGGAGACGTCACACGTCAGTATCAGGATCCTCTCCTCCGGTGACAATATATTTCTGATATTTATATAAAAGAGGAAATTACACATAACATAAAAAGAACAAATTGTTACAATCAGAAAAAAAAACTTATTGAACACAAAATATTCAATTGTAACAATTTGGTGAAAAGAAACGACCGGAATCTCCTCAGCAATAAAGTGACACAAAACTGAGGAGATAAATCCCTCCGAGTCCCTGAACTCTGACCCCAATGTCTCTTATTTGTGTGTCACTCGGCTGTAGGTCCTCCAATCATCTCTGACACTGTCCTTCCTTCTGGAGGGGGGCTACGTCTGTTCCCCATGGTCCCTGTGTGTGTTAATAAAGTAGTCACCGCTCCAAGCTCCGCCCCCCGGGATGGACTACAATCTCAGGTTTAGTTTACTCATTTGTATTGAGATTGTAGTCCATGGGGAAGGGGGGGGTGATGGAGCTTGGAGCGGTGACTACACTACAACACACACGGGGACCATGGGGAACAGACGTAGTCCCCCTCCAGAAGGAAGGACAGTGTCAGAGATGATTGGAGGATCTACAGCCGAGTGACACACAAATAAGAGACATTGGGGTCAGAGTTCAGGGACTTCAATGCAGTTTTAAGGTTTCACTCCGGAGTTTAGTGTCACTTTAAAAACAATTCT